AATATATTTACTTTCTTTCATTTGTTTTGTCCGTTTACCTCTGAAATATATTCAGTTAAAAAGAAAACCTTAAGTACAACATTTTTATCAAACTATGATCTGCATCAATATAATTAGAAGCAGAATTATATGGATATTTTATTTATTTATTCAATTTATATGCTGCCCAACACATTGTGTATCTACATGCTCTTTTCTTCTGTCACACAACTATTCCACTTTATGCAATAGGTTTTAATTTTGGGAAACAGTGTTTAAGCCTATCTTACAAAACAGAACCATTAAAATAAAAGTTATTTGATTCTTAATATTGATGTCACTTTCAATGTATTCTTTGGTAGCTTGCTTATCCTAGTGCAAGATTTACAGTATATAGGAAAGAAGAAAGAAAAATACACCTGCTAATTTCTATGCCTTATCAGTTTTTAATATTAAACATGGCATTTTTATTATCTGTGTAGACTGAAAATTGCAAATCTTAGAAGCAATATCACTGGATTGTTTCCAAAATATACGAATATTTACTTTCTTTTAGTGCTGTGTTAAGTCATTTGTGTTAGAATACAGTATGGTATTAGCAAAATAATGTTCTTTTTACCAAATATTGCCAATATGATACATTGCTAAATGGAATATCTTTTACTAACTCAGCCTCCCTCCTACACAGATCCATTACTCTGACTTCGGCATTCATATTGAATATCATCTGGGTTTACTTGGAATTGTATTTGGTGTTAAATATAGCAAATAAGAAAATGGAAGAGCTAGCTTTGTGGCCACAAATTTTGAAGTGGGATTCATGGTGTCTAGGTTATTGACTGAATACAGCTAGTCCTTGACTTACAACCACAATTGAACCCAACATTTCCATTGCTAAGTGAAACATTTGTTAAGTGAGTTTTGCCCCATTTTATGATGTTTCTTCTCACAGTTGTTAAATTAATCACTGCACTTGTTAAGTTAGTAACACGGTTGTTAAGTCGATCTGGCTTCCCCATTGACTTTGCTCAGAAGGTCGCAAAAGTGATCACATTACCCCAGGACATTGCAACTGTCATAAATATGAGTCAGTTGCCAAGCATCTGACCATGGTGATACTGCAACTGTCATAACTGTGAAAAATTGTTAGAAGTCACTTTTTCAGTGACCTCGTAACTTCGAACAGTCACTAAATGAACTGTTGTAAATCAAGGACAGTTTGAAGTATTGTTGTTAACTAGAATTCTAAATGCTTGAAACAAGCATTCGTGATAGAGAACCATTGGTAAGCTCACCTTACCTTTGCATTACAATAAACATGATGGGTCCTTTTCTGGATATAATCCCACCATTAGAAATTAGGTGGGTGCTTAGAAATTGGTTTTTCATTTTCAACACCATTCACGATTCTGGAGTAGTTGCCACAAGGCTGCCATTCTAGTTTCCAACTGATTGAGAGGTTGGTTATTCCTAACACATTTCTATTTGTTTCAAATGACCATGCACTTCATTATTCTATATATACCATATTTTTCAGAGTATAAGATGCACCTTTTTCCCCTCAAAAAAGAGAATGAAAATCTGGGTGTGTCTTATACACTGAATACATCATTTTTGGCCTCCCAAAACCCTGCCCCCTTTGCAAAAATGGCTGTGCATAGCCTTTAGGACGCTTCCAGAGTGCTCTTGGGGACTGGGGAGGGCAAAATGAGCAAAAAATGGGTCGTTTTTTGCTCATTTTGGGGGGCCCCAGCCCCGAGGAGCACTCTACAAGCCCCCTAAAGGCTGTTCATGCCCTTTTTTTGATGAAAAACAGGCCCGTTTTGGGGGGGGGGGTCTGCAGATTGCAAAAACTTAATTTGCTTCTTCAAAATCTTGGTGCGTCTTATACTCCAAAATACGGTATATTTTAAAAATTTTACTAATACATCCTATATTGTTTTGCCATTTTAATGCTTTAATTAGACGCTGGCTATGCTTTAAAATACAGGGTGGCTCAGTGGCTAAGATGCTGAGCTTGTTGATCAGAAAGGTCGGCAATTTGACGGTTCGAATCCCTAGTGCCACGTAACTGAGTGAGCTCCCGTTATTTCTCCCAGCTTCTGCCAACCTAGCAGTTCGAAAGCATCTAAAAAATGCAAGTAGAAAAATAGGAACCACCTTTGGTGGGAAGGTAACAGAGTTCTGCGTGCGCCTTCAGTGTTTAGTCATGCCAGCCATATGACCATGGAGACGTCTTTGGACAGCACTGGCTCTTCGGCTTTGAAACGGAGATGAGCACCGCCCCCTAGAGTCGGGAACGACTACCACATATGTCCAAGGGGAACCTTTACCTTTACCTTTTATGCTTTAAAATAGGACAAAAATTAGGAGGAAAATGGTATGTTAAATGTTTATCTCATGTATAGTTGTAACTTTAAAAAATGGCAAACTGTAACATTGAAGATATTCCTATCAAAATGATTCAGCCACTGTGTGTTTGTTTACTATATTCTGTAAATTGAAATCACTCTCGGATATAATTCCTGGTTCTTTTTAAGAAACATAAACTATAACACTAGTTTGACACAAACCAAGTTAGTTGGGAATCTGCTATCTGAAAATTTTGGCAGCATGAGATGTTTGTCTTTAATAACGATATTCATTTACAGCGTTATATACCCATTTTCTAAAATAAAAGTAACAATGTTTATGATATCTAGCTTGACTATCAGACAGTCAAATTTTCAATGTCTTCTTCCTAAAACTATAGAGTGCTAGCCTAAATAAAATTATTGCATATATAGTGATAACTATTGAAAGTCCCTCACCCCACATTATATATACAGTTCACAGATTTCATAAATCTTTGTACTATTGCATTTTGACATCGCCATCAGTTCTACTGGAGAGCAATTTTCAGAAAATTCCCTGTGCAGAAAGCCTCTGCCCTTACCAATCTGGGAATAGCCCTTGTATTACTTTATTGCAGTGGTTCTTAAACTGTGTGTAATTACCCCAAGTGGGTAATTTGAGTACATCTGGGATAATGAAGCAATTTTAATTGTTGGTTTGTGAGTTGAGGATTCAATTTGGAACTCCTGCTGCCAAGATACATGTGTAAAACAACAGTCTGGATTTGTTTTTGTTTTTGTGGGGTTAATGACATTTGAGATTGGGAAAAGGTTCAGTTGGTTAAACAATTTTAACAACTAGTTACTCTTAAAATTGTATAGAGATACACACAGAGAGATCCAAATTAATTTGGAGTGTTTTATTATTGTTGCTTTTGTACTGTGTAGAGTACCACATAAAGTACTAAAATGGTATATTGGTTTCACCCTATTTAATTATGTAGTTTAGAGCAGTGTTTCCCAACCTTGGCAACTTGAAGATGTCCGGATTTCAACTCCCAGAATTCCCCAGCCAGCATTCGCTGGCTGGGGAATTCTGGGTGTTGAAGTCCGGACATCTTCAAGTTGCTAAGGTTGAGAAACACTGGTTTAGAGCACGGTTATCCAAGTGTTTCTGATCTGAGAATCAGATTGGATTCATCTGGAGTGCTAGACCTATAGTGCTTGGCCAAGTCAGATACTAAATTTTATTTCATTTCATCTATATATTTATTAATATCAAATAATTAATATTTCTATTATCCATGCAGCAAGACAGTGACCCAAAACACGAAAATATTATGTTTTATGAAAAGCAATGGATTCATCCCCCACCCCAAAATACACAACCCCAACATACCACTTTGTCCAATTGTATTGTTACCAGGGATCCCAACTTGTAACAGCCAAAGAACTCACAAAAAAACCTTTGACATCTCATAAAGGGGAGTTGTTGTATCAGTTCGCCACTGCCTTGCAGTTGTTAAGTGACCTTGTGGGTTATTAAGCAGACAATCCCTGGAAAGGAGAATAGAGTACCTTGGAGTGGGGAAACCCTGGGTGGAAGTATGTCTCCGCTCAAGAGCTGAACATCCTCCCTGCTGATATCCAAACACGATTTTCAGTCCCTGAGTGGGGGACATGTGGCTTACACCAGGACTCCTAAAAGTTCCCCTGCAGGAGGATGGCTGAGGCGCCCCATTTCATTTTCATTTATTATATTTATATGCTGCCCTTTTCCCCCGAAGGGGACTCAGGGCGGCTAACAAATCAAATCAGGGAAGGGGGGGGGGTACAGACAAAAAAATAAAAAATAAACGATACATAACAATACATAATTTAAAAACACACAACAGTCATACCATTCCAGACAGGGGCAACAGCTCTTTAGCCCCAGGCCTGTGGGAACAGCCAGGTTTTAAGGGCTTTGCGGAAGGCCTGGAGGGTGGTGAGGGTTCGAATCTCCACGGGGAGTTCGTTCCAGAGGGTCGGAGCAGCCACAGAGAAGGCTCTCCTCCGGGTAGTCGCCAGTCGACACTGGCCGGCGGATGGAATTCGGAGGAGGCCTAATCTGTGGGATCTAATCGGTCTAGTGGAGGTGATTGGCAGCAGGCGGTCTCTCAAGTACCCAGGTCCAATACCATGAAGGGCTTTATAAGTGAAGTATAAGTAATGTTCCTTATCTGTCCTCTGGGGCAGTAATTGCTTCATAGTTGAAAATCGTGCTTGGATATTGACATGGCTCTTTTTCAGCCACCCAACATCAAGAAAAGCAGGAATTAACAACTTTTATGGCAGACTTTTCTAGACATGATCTTTTTGGAGATCTAAACTTTTACTTAACTCTAGCAACTGTTTTATTGTTAGTATGGCTGCTATGTTGCTGAAAGTGACAGAAAACCTGTTATTTATTTTTTGAACTTTAAATTCTGTATTAACAAGTCAAATAGTCTTATAATTGTAATCTTTACTTCCTTTTCACTCTTTTTGTAATTTTTATATTCTGTAATTTCTTAAATATTCTTTGTCGCTCTCTCCTTACTTTATGTTGTTTCTTTTTTCCTTTTCTTTATTTCCACTTTTAAATATCTTTAAAAAAATAAAATGATATTTACGGTACTTTATATCAACTCTCTTTGTTGTCAACAGACATATGTAGAGTATGTCGGTCTGAAGGAACTCCTGAAAAGCCTCTCTATCATCCATGTGTATGTACTGGCAGTATTAAATTCATTCATCAAGAATGGTAAGTTTGTTTTTCATTGGAAATATCTGTACATGGCATTCTACAATTTGTGCACAGAAACAATACAATAAGTTATCTTCAAAATGATTGTATACTAGATATTAATATGGGCTGAAATAATTAAATAGCACTAACTCTAACTTGACTTGTGTTGACCTTCTACAAATATTTGCTTCCTTAACATTGTAAATCCTCCAAAGACAGCCATATAAACTCTGATAATGACCATGCACTTTTTCCATGAGCTTTCAACCTCGCCAAGGATAGCTTTTCAAAATTGTCATCACTGAAATAGGTGGATTTCTTCCTTGCTGATATTTTCCTTAACGAGGCTATTAGTTTCAATTTTGTCTAGGTTTCATTGGTTGGTGTTGCTTGTAGTTGATAGTACTTCATTACGGTAATCATCTCCGATCCATAATTTGAAAGGGTCTTTCTTTCACTCTTAATATTCAGATTTCATAGCAATACGTTCCCACTCGAAAGATCACTTCCACTATTTTGCTCTATTGACAGATCTTGTCTCCCACCCTAGGATTAATCTTCTCTTTACTTCTCCAGCCTACTGTCCATCTTTATCTATTCTTGAGCCCAAGAAAACAAATTATGTACCATCTTCACATCTTCATCTTCAACTGTAAGTTCACTAAGCATGTTGGTTGACATTATCTTTGTCGTCTTAATATTTAACATTAACCCAGATTTTCACTTTCCATTTTTAATTTTACATTGAGCTTTTCTAAATCATCTCTACTTCCAGCTAATAAAATTGTTGTCTATGTATTTCAATATGATAGTGCTTCAGCCTCCTCTTTTGAGTCTAGGTGTCATCTCTTAACAATACTGCTTGTCTGCTTTAGAAGTTAAACAGATAAAGGGGCAACAAATCTCCTGTCTATAGCTACTTCTCATTTTTTGAACTACTATCATTTCAAATTCAGTTCTTACAGCATTTTCTTCTTTATTGTAATGATTCTTCAGATGTTCTATTACCCTAAATATATTCCACATTCTGGCATGATCTACATATTCAAGGTTTTTCTTACAATCTGTTGCTGTCTTCATTATTATATTACCTATTTGATGTCATGGCTCTCTGCCTTTTTTGAACTCGCCATGCTTCTGTGTAGATAGGCATGATTTTATTTTTATTTAGAATTTCTCAAGTTAATCTTGCTTGTGCAAGAAATTAGCCCAGTGATTCAATATTTACATTCTCTAGATTGGCCTTTTCAGCATGGCTGAAAGTTGTAATCTTGATTTAATGGAACCCCTGTGGATCAAGTTTCATCTGGATACCATACTAAAATAACAGAGAGGTTCATGTATACAAAATAATCCGGATGACGCAGTCAAACTTACATTAATTTTACTGTAATGTTATGATCTATACATCCATATATGTGTGGTAAAATTTAGGCATTTCTGTTGTTTGTTTAACAACATCATTAGGCAACAGTGACATGCTTTTATATATACCGTATTTTGGGAATATAAAATGTATCTCCCCCCCCTCCAAAAAGGTGAAAATTTGGGTACGTCTTATACACCAAATGTACCCCCCCCCCTCCACTACAGGCCAAAAACGCGAGGCATGGAGGCAGCGATGGTCCCTGCAGCTTGGAACAGCTGATTGGGAATATTCTGGCAGTTTGATCAGCCGTGATGAATCAGGCTGCAATAAGTGCTAAAGCTGACCTGCCTGGGCAGAGTTTGCAACAGCAATCATATTTAGAAAGCACACACAAGTAACTGATTCAGCAGGATTCAAAATAATAATAATATAAAATACCAAAAGCAGGTTTTCCAGGGTAGCAGTAAATACAAGCAAAACACAAGCAGTTTCACTTTCAGTTCTCAGCTAAGCCAGGCTCCTTCCTGTCTCCTTGTTGCTCACACAGCAAATACTGTTTCAGAGTCCAAATATCCCTCATTGGCTGACTTAGTTGTTATGCCTATTCATTGGCTGACCTTGTTACCATGTATTCCAAATCATGAACTCTCACATACTGACAGGAAGCTAGCCAGCTGAGTACCATGGATGCTGGTAGGCAGAGGCAGAATTTATTTTCTTCTCATTTTCCTCCCCAAAAACTAAGATGCATCTTATACTCCAAAAAATACGGTCATGGAAATTTGGGAATAACAGACATCCCCTTTCCCCAATTAAAGTTAAAGTTAAACTGTTCATTTTTCCCAATCTCAAGACCACCAAGGCATACACCATGCTTGTTTTCATAGAATCTTTAGCATTTTAACTATCTCTACAGTCTCAGAAGGTAATTTTTTTACACCTGTTTTTCCCCCTCAGGTAGTTGATAATGCCTCAGTTTCTTCTAGAGTTGCTTATTTAATATATTCTCTCCCTGAAAGTCCTTTCATCATTCTTCAGTATGATTTGTAAAGATTTTTAGTTTAGGCTTCATTTACATCCTTTGCCTCTAGATATTCTCTTCTAATAATTATTTTTATTCCAATTTTGACTACAATTTTTCCTTTTTTCTTGGCATTTTCATGTATTTATTGATGTTTTAAATTGAGATAGCTTTCCTTTGACTTTCTTGGTTGATGTTGAAAGTCTGCATTCAATGCATCATTCTATTGTCCAAGTTCTTTATCTCCCATCTTTGCCCTACATGATAACTTATGTTGAAACTCACTTGGATCTTTTCCCTTCCATATTTTTTTTTGTTTCACTTTCCATAATTTCTCCATCAATTTTCAGGTTCTCTTTTACATAGGTAAGTATACAAAATCTGTTCTTAATCTGATTTATATTTTTACTATATACTCTTCAGGTCGAAAATTGCTGGTTCACTTTAATTTCCTAAGTCAAACCTACACGTCTGACCCTAACGTTCTCCATCTTCTGTTTCCTTATTAAGTAGTTTATTTGATTATAGTATTTTTCTAAGAAATAATAAAATAATAGTTGTAGAGTTAAAGTAGTTGTTGATACTAAGAATTTTTCCCCCCACAAAATTCTTTCTCCTGCATTATTGAATCTGTTTAATCAAGATCTTCCAATAATTCTAGGAACCTCTATTTTCCCAACATTTTCAGTCACCAATTATGATTGGAAATAACTAATCATACACCCTTTTGGTGATGTGTTTAGCACCTCTTTCAGCATGCCCTAAGATTCTTCAGTGACTTTCACTCTTGCACCTATAGTATGCTATATTGTACAAGTAGCTCATACTTGTTTAACTTTTATGTTCACTGAATATCCACTAATTTTGCTAGAAATAATCCTGTCATTTAGTGGGTTATAAAATTATTTTAGCGATGTCCTTTATGAATATCTAAGTTACTTCATTCCTTTGTATGGTTTCATGTTTTGAATATTTTCCAAGTTGATTTTGGAGTTCCTTCTTTATTCTTTTACTGTACCTGCAAAGCCTTTCTTCATTTCCATTGTGGATTACCCTTAGCTAAAAGCTCTTTTTCATATTCCCAGCAGGGTTAACTTTGTCAAGAGTTTTTGTTCCTATCATTTCAAAACTAAATAAAGCTTTAAAAGCTTCCCACAAGAAACTAAAGAAAAAAAATATTATTAAAGGGCTAAATATTTTTTTTACCTGTGAAAATGTTAATTATAAAAACATATTCTGAATATGAGATCAGAATTCAAATTGTTTATGCAATTTAAATAATTGAAAATGCAAGAATTCTGTAAATGTCTTTTGCAGTATATATTAATGATTAATGGGCATTATACATTTTGTAATAAAAGTCTCCATTATATTCATTTTTTTTACATTCTGTTTTCTCATTTTGTTACATTTGCCATGAGTTACCTTAGCCAGTATCAAAGTGTAGGCTTGGTCATTTCTCTGGTGTAGCATTAGTTATAGAAGTAGTTTTTAGTGGGATCTAAAACAGTGGTTTTTTACTATAGAAGAATTCATTTTTCAAAACAAAAATAATAATAACTATGCATTTTGAGCCTCTATTTTGCTTATAAATTCATTTAAACCACTTTCGTTGTATTTAAGTACAATAACAATAAAGATTATACTATACTTAAATATTTATGTTTATTGTATGCCCTAATTTGTTTATTTTATTAATGTAATTTTGCTTAAAAGTTTTCAGCAGAAAAAAAATCTAGTTTGGTCTAATTTGTCCGCACAATGTTCTTCCAAAGCTTTCTAGTTTGTCTAAATGGTCTTTCGCAAACTATAGATGGGGAACAATGTCCTTTCGGGAATGTAATGACGTTTTCCTTGCAACTCTGCCACACACCCCATTATTTTTTCGATACATGAACACTGATATTTGCCAAGGCAAGAAAGATCCCTGGATGTTAGTTTAGGGTTTTTTGAGACAACCTGAAATATTACACACCTTGTTTTTGGGATGTTTTTGTTTATTTGATGGCTTGAATCACAGTTCATATTTATTCAGAAATATTGAAGATTCAATATAGCTTCACAAACCCATTTTTAAATTCAAACAGGTTTACAAACTGATTTTTTTTAAGCAGCACTATATCTCAAGTTAACCAAAATGCCTCAATCATTTATATTTTTAAACATACTTTTAATAGATTGGATTGGATTGGATTTATTCAGTTTGTATGCCGCCCTATTCCCGAGAGACTCAGGGCGGCTAACAATAATACTAATAAGTATTATTTAAGGCTAATAATACTTTGCCTTAATCAGCACTGCTCCATGCTTTGCTTATTCAATTCAAAAACACTCATTCTTAACAAAAGTACCGTATTTTTGGAGTATGAGACCCATCTTCCCGCCCCTAAAAATGGGTGAGAATTTAGATGCATCTTATAGACCAAATATGGGTGTTTTGGGGTTCCCAAGCCCTCTGTGCATTGCGTTTTCGTCCTCTCCGGACCCCAGAAGCTCTGTGCAGTGCTCCACATGGCCTGTTTTCACCAAAAACGTTTTTAGCAAAAACAGGCCATTTGGAGCACTGCGCAGCACTTCTCGCGGCTGGGAAGGGTGAAAATGAGACACGTGTAGGCCAAAAACTGTTTTTTCTTGTTTTCTTCCTGTAAATTTAGGTGCATCTTATAGTCCAATGCATCTTATAGTCCGAAAAATACAGTATTTGAAGAAAGTCAGTACTTATATCATAATTAAATTATAAAATATAAATTGAGTTATTAAAATATATATTTTATTACTATTTTCCTTTTTAAAAATTCTTAAGACTTTCTCTTGAATGTTATGTTTTTTTTTCTAACACTGTAAATCCATTACTACCATATATTTTAATTGCAGCTTAGTCCAATGGCTCAAACACAGCAGAAAAGAATATTGTGAATTATGTAAACACAGATTTGCTTTCACACCAAGTAAGTATACGGCATGAATATATATATATACTATGTGTACATGAAATAGTTATTCTAAGGTTTATGTTTCTTGTAAGAGATTATTTAGCCAGATTGAAAATTCAAATAATTGCTTCCAAGAAGTGAAATTACACATGTTGTAATTGGCTTCATTTCAACCAAGGCAGTGCAGTGTCTTGGAATAAATGGTGTTACAGTGGTACCTTGGTACTCAGTTAATTGGTTCTGGGAGGTTCCAATGAGTATGAAAAATGATGAGTAGCAAGCAAATTTTTCCCATAAGGAATAATATACTGAGACACAAAGCAGCTGACATTGACATGTTTTAGTTTGGGCATTGAGTACCAAACAAATGATGAATATCGGGACTATATTTTCATGTCAAAATGCGTTGAGTACCAAATTTTATGAGTTTCAAAGCAGTTGAATACCAAGGTACCACTATAGTGCTTTGGCTTAGCTCAATGAGGCAGTATATACATGCCAAATAATTCTCTTTTCAAGCAATCTTTCGACTAAGAAATATAAATACATAAATGTATCAAATAACTTCTAACATGTATTATGTGATATGTCACAAAGATAAAATTTTCTGAACACTGTGGCACTTACATAAAGAAGTCATATTGCCTTTAACCAATTTATAAATTAAAGTCATTAGCTATTAGAGTCATTTAGCCATTAGATGTGGTAAAAAATTAAGTGATAATTACTTCATTTGCAAACTTCTAATTCACTATGATGGGAAATCTTGAGGAATCATTACTGTACTTTTCCATGGGAAAAATGCTGCAAGAGAAAGAAAATAAAAGCAATAGAAAGCCCAAGAAGAAAACAAGTTCCTTTTTCTTTATTTCATTCATACTCCAGTGAACAGAATATTAAGTCACAATTTATTTAATTCAAGATAATTTGAACAGACCAGATCCAAAGTAGTAATGATTTCTTTAGTCAATTCACGGTTTATTTGCTCTTACTTTTATCAGTCTTCAGATGACATCCTAACCATCTAAGCCAGGGGTGTCAAACTTGATTTCATTGAGGTCTGCATCAGGATTGTGTTTGACCTTGGAGGGCCAGAGTGGGTGTGGCAAGGGTGGGCATGGCCAGCTTGACATCATTCATGTCAGGGGCGCCTGTGGTGGCCCGAGCGCTCTGCTAGAGAAGACGGGCTCCCGAGCTTCATTTTCAGCTGCAATGACCTGCAACCCCCTGAGAGCGAAAACGGGGCTCAGGAGGGCCACTGGTGGCCCTCCCAAGCTCTGTTTTCGCTCGCAGAGGCACCACAGGCCAGTCTGTTGCTGTTTCCAGGGAGGCCTCACGGGCCAGATCTAAGCACTCCTTTGACCCATTCTGGCCCCTGAGCCTTGAGTTTGACACCCCTGATGTAAGCAGTGGGGTTTTTTTCTGCTTTTAGGTTTCTGTAGGTCTTTTTCTATAGGTTTCTATATGTTTTGCTTTCTTTAATGGAGTACATGTGTTGTCTATTTCATGGGCTTTATGTGAGGATATGCCTTTCTAAGTTTTGAGGGGGTTTTATGACGTACAGGGCGGGGCATAACCTTTTCCTAGGGGGTCACAGCAACACTTGTAATAACAACACAAATAATTCATACACCATTCGAAAGCCCATCA